ATAACGTCAGCGAAAATCCGTACGAGTTGAGTGATACACTTCTTATCTCTATCTGACTTGTGTGGATTATAATTATTTCGCCCGCTCACTCGCCACTCGTGAGTCAATAGTTAAGTTAATCATTGTCTCAGTCTGTCTTTCTCGCTTGTGGCTCAGTCGCCTCGCAAGCGACGCGTCGCGCGAAATGAGCAAAGAACAAAGTAATGTTTCACTGTTCCAAATCCAAATGATACATTTGAAACGTTGTTACTGAACCAATCTTTTGTGACACTTCAGTGATTCGGATCAGTGATTCGTTTTCGTAAAGAGATACACACGCCTACTATGAGTACTGGCGCTTTCGAGGTAAGGTACTCTCAGTACTTTTACCACGTTTTCAAAAAAACATAACAGCGCCTAGAGATTTAACAGCTTCCACGAATTATGGTTATTATAATTAATTAATATTATTATTCAAATAAAATCGGACATTAAGTTTTAAAAGCAACAACAATCAAATAATATTTTTTCTTGTTGAACAGAAAACGTGTGCATGATAAAAAGGTATTTGCATTTGAAAACAGTGTCGAAAAATGGGCATGACAGTATACTGGACTGCGTTCCGTTTTAAACAGTAACCACTAACCAGTATAGCAAACTAAAAGGGAACGGCTTCACTGTATACTGAATGAGGGCTAATAATTTTCTACTTACCAGATGTCACTAGTTGACACTGAGATTTTTTGTTAAAATGTCATTTAATTGAGCAGTTAGTTTTTAATAAAAGTTTATCAGTTTCAAAACTATTATATTAATACATAAAGTAATACCTCAGTGGTTTTAACTTTTTTTTTAATTTTCTGCCCACTTCCAAAAAGGAGAAGTACTCAATTCGACTGTATGTTTTTTATGTGTGTTACCTCATAACTTTTTACTGGGTGAACCGATTTCGATGATTCTTTTATTATTTGAAAGCTGGTACTTCTCGTGTGGTCCCATATGAATTTGATCAAGGTCAGACAAATGGTTTTTGGGTTATTCTTAATAACGTATATTGAAGTCGGCTGTACAAAATTTTTAATTTTAAATTATTATTCTACATTTATGAATATCTGTGTTTTGGTTTATTTATTTGTATATTTAAAGTGGTCGCCGGTGAATCCTCGAGGCAAGTCAGTTCGAAGATCGATTATCATTTTGAACTTCCCGGGGATATGCGATGGCTACTGAGAGAGCACAATGCTGTGGTTATGGCCTATGACCGTCAATAATAGGTCCAACTTGCGCCGCCTCTGTAGAGAGGCGAGAGATAAACGTTGGGTCAGATTGATGAGAGACTTCTCGACTTCACATACTGCTTTCTTCGGTTGGCGAGAGCTCGGAAGTCAGAAAATGTCACATCGATGCCCTCATTAGATAGACCTGATGGTCAGTTCGCGTTCTTCTTCTTTTTATGGTGCCTTTCCGACTAGCGAAGGTTGGCAGTCAGCTTAGTGGACTCCGCTCTTCGCGAGACGAAATAGTTCAGCGGCACTCGCGATTCCTGTCCTCTCCGGATATTACATAGCCATGACTTTTTTCTGCGATCGACGCCTCTTTTTCCGGCAACTTTTCCCATCACAATGAGTTTTAGGAGGTCGTACCTTTCGTGCCTGAGCACCTGCCCTAAATATGCAACTTTCCTCATTTTGACGGTCTGCATAAGTTCGCGGTTTTGGTCGACTCATCGCAGAGCTAATGCCCAACATTCGTCTGTATTCCACATCTCGTAGGCTTCTATACGTTTTCGGTGGTCCTCTAACTGTCCACGCCTCACATCCATATAAAAGTATGGGCCAGATGTAACATCGTAGTAGTCGAGTGCGCAGAGATCTTAAGTCTACGGTTGAAGAGTAATTTTTTTTATTTAGCTAAAGGTACTCTGAACCATTTCAGCCGTGTACGTGTGTGCGTGTACGCGGGCCGAAGTAAAAAGGACGCGTTGAGATCGAGACTCGAAATTGACCTGTGAAATGATGAAATGTCTCCTCGTTCATGCTGAAGTAGTTAAAATAGTTTTTAGAGTCCATTTCCAACTTTTAAAATTGGGTATAATATGTTCCCATATTTTATTTTTAACTTTGGATGAATGGAAAATTTGATTTCTCTGCGTTGATTATATTTTCGTCTTAAATACACGATGGGACGTCAAAAAGTTCGCGGAATTACAGGGAAGGATAATGAAATGAAACTTTAAACTATTTTTCCTTTTCAATGTATTCTCCCTTAACCCTAATACATTTATTAGATCTGTCAAATAGCTTATTAATACCGTCTAAAAAAGATTTGTCTTGGTCGTCAAAATAGACCGTAATTGCCGACTTCACTTCATCATCGTTGTCAAATTTTTCCCACGCAGTTCTTTCTTCATTTTTGGAAATAAATAATAGTCGCTCGGGGCTGGGTCTGGGCTGTATGGTGGGTGCAGTTGTTCCAATCCGCACCGGTGAATGGCAGCCGTCGCAACATGGCTTGTGTGCACGGGCATATTGTCGTGCAAAAGGAGCACGCGTTTTGTAATCTTTCCTCGTCTTTTTTTAATTGATCTAGTAAAGAAGCGTAGTATTCTCCCGTTATGGAAACACCACGTTCCTTATAATCAATCAAAAGGATACCTTCTCTGTCACAAAAGATCGTCGCCATGATCCTTCCAGTCCATTGAGACACCTTATACTTCTTAGGAGGGGGTGTGCATTTTTTATGCCACTGCCTCAGGTTCATAATGGTGAACCCAATTTTCATCGCCAGTTTCAATTCGGGCCATAACTTCCTCCCTTTGCTCTCCATAGTGGTCCAAATACTCGCGACAACTTTCGACGCGCTTGTGTTTTTGATGCGCAGAAAGCATTCTCCGAGAATGCACACCCATCTTGCACAGACTTTAGTCATGTTTGTTTGAAAAAGGCGTGCCATTTATAAATCATGGTTTTACCAGGAACGGAGTACTCATAAACAGCTGACATCTCTTGATAAATGGTTTGAGGTGTTTTTCCTTGTTGGTAAGAAACTTAATGACGGCGCGTTATTCAATTTTCTCCATAGTGGCTAGTTTCATCCCGATTGACTTGTTTACTCGTTGATAACTCAAAAGCTAATGACCCGATTTGAATGAAATACTACATATGAAACTTGATATATATACTAACAAGTCACTCAACTAGCGCCTACCTGGATGAGTACTCATCCTCGCCAACCCCGCCATTCCGTGAACTTTTTGATCTCTTCTCATAAGAGATATAACAAACAAATACGACGACTTGACGAAACAATGACGACTTGACGAAACAATTTTTACATGTTGTAGAACTGAAGTCTGTGTTAGTACTGCCCAGAAACCGAGCGTAGACCGGCACCAGCGCAGTGGAAAAACGAAGCTCCGGCACCAGCACTGTGCCGGGACAGTACCCGATATATTACTTTCCGCTATGCGGGACAGCAAACTTCCTGCTCGGTGCCAGCCGGTAAAACTGCATATGTATTGTGTGCGTATTTGTAGCCGTTTGCATGTGCGTGTGCGGGACTCGAAATTGACTTGTGAAATTATGAAATGTCTCCTCGTTCATGCGGAAGTAGTTGATATATTTTTACAGCCAACCTTCAACTTTTAAAATAGGGTATAATATGTTCCTTCTAGATAGTTAGAACCAGGAAATAATTTACTAAAATCATTAATGAATATTAATTATACCATGTCAACGTTTTCCCTCCCAGTATTTAATTAAAATTATACGTCATATTTAGAGATCTTTCCACCTTCTAAGATCTTTCTTTTAAATTTAATAACCATTATTTTAGACGGTAAAAAATATGGCATTCATTACAGAAACACACAGAAATTAATATCTGAAGGAAGTTCTCTTTTTTAAAAGTTCTGTATTCGGAAAAAAACCCATAAGTTGCCCCGAGTCCTTATCTGGGAGTCAATAATGTATTTCCATAGTCGCCTCTTGCGACAAACACAGGTTGAAATGGGGTGATGTATTGTCTAAAGTACCATAGGTACCACCACACGGAAATTAGTGTTTACAATTAGAATTATTTTGTTATATAGAAAATTGTAAGCTTATAGAATTTTTAATACAGCTTGCCACGCTAGCTAGCCATTGATACCCAGTTGGGTATGTAGTGTTTTAAATTATTTTCGTATTCATTACATTTTCAATTTTGTAGTAATTTTATAGTTTTTCTAAATAGTGCAATACTAATGTTTACTACATATGCGATTCAAATGCAAAACAGATATTTTTGAAATAAATTTATAAAAATATTAATCTAAATCTAACATTTCAATTTTGCTCATCTCTGCATCACTGTCTGAGTAGTCATTATTATCATTATCATCACTGCTGCTTTTCCTTATAAAAAAAGAAGAAAAATACATTATTACTACGCAAATTAATTTTCTTTGCAAGCCGTACTTTTCAAATGACATAATTGTGTTAGATCGCGGTCATTGCCATTCATATTCTTATTTGAATCGCATTGTAAATTTTATGTAGTCATCATATAAAAACAAGAGTCGTGATAGCTCAGGGTCTAAGCGTTTATTGTACATTTATAGTATACCAGCTGGAACTACATACATACATACATACATATAATCACGCCTCTTTCCCGTAGGGGTAGGCAGAGACCACTTCTTTCCACTTGCTACGATCCTTACATACTTGTTTTGCTTCGTCCACTTTCATAACTAACGTAATTGTTATTTTAATTTTAAGTGCTGATTTACCTAGTGGTAAAGGAAAACATCACGAGGAAACCGGCATGTCTAGAATATTAAAAAAATATACAAAAGAGCAAAATATATATGAAATCGTGAACGCTACCTTGTCCTAAAACCCTCTCAGAAATGAGAGAAGACCCGAGACAAGTAGGAGGACTTACATAGGCTGCCACTTTACTAACCTTATAAACAATAATCAAACTTGTAGGGTTTTAGTATTTATTAAAATTTTATATTTCTTTACAGTACTATATAATCAGTCTTTTTTTCTTGATTTTTTTCTATGTGACGTAATACGAACACTGTTTTTTTTTAAAGGACTATGGTCTCTTTTAGTAGGTTTCGTACTTCTTGAACTAGAATGTCTTCTGGGCGGAGAATCTCTTTCGGGGGATTCCGACCATCTCCACGACCGGGGCGGTGTTCTTCGTCGCCTGAGAGTCATTTTTAAGAAAAAAATATTTTTTAGTTTAGGGAGAAAGAGATTGAATAATTTTTTTACTGCCGACATGAGTCATGACATAACGAAACCCTTTTTAGTGACCAAAATTTGACAATTTAGGACTAAATTCGAATTCCTATCATTTTAATTGATCATCATCCCCATAGGCAATAAATGAACGAATGACCAATGGCGGGAATTGCATTTCGGTTCTAGTCGATTCGAGTCTAAATCTCACAGATGGTTATGGGAGAGCAGCATCCCCAATATACAGCATTTCACTTCTTATTCTGTCTGCATAGCGTGGGGATAAACATTTTTAGGAAATTAACACATTTCTGGAAACAAAATAATTTAATCTTCTGCGAATAATCTTTGAATATATTATAAAATCGTTAATCGTGGAACTTCTGAACGACTTTAGAGGCTTTTTTATAGAATAAGGGTGACAAACGAGCACAGTCTACACATAGTATTAAGTGGATGCTGTGGCTCATAGACATATACATTTATTCTCGATTAAGAATTAAAATGCAGATGAGTTGTCACCCCTGTAGACTAAGATGGAATGTCTCGTTTCCAGTAAAAAGGGTCTCCGGTTCTCTACACTAAACGAAACACAGCAGCATAGAGCTGCTATTTTACGGTGGTATTCTGTGAGGGCGTGGTCCTTCCCCTGGGGAGTCGACACATTACGCTACAACTATACCAGTAATATAGCTGCAGCATGGCTCTACCACGTAAAAAAAAGGTTAAGGTTATATTATTTACATATACATGATATTTGATTTGCGGAGACGATGCTTTATAGATACGCTAGTATCTGGTAGGTGGCGCTGTAGTCAAATTATTATAAGTATTTGATAAAAATATTAACCTCATGACAATAGGTATTACGTTGGTTTAGCGCTTTAATAGAATATCTGAACCCGATAGGTAGAGGTGAGATTGAGTTGTGAATAAATGTTTATCTATAATGTAAAAAGTCCGTATTGGATTCAGAGTAAGCTCATCACGTCACCTATCCGAAAGAGCACAAAAACCTATGCCGAGCCAGAGTTTTAAAATATTTTTATATTAGTCGCAATATACCACTTAAAATAATGTGAAAATGTACCTGTAGTTACTCCCATTGTAAATAGAAAACAAATTATTTGGATTTCTAAATACATGTAAGAAGTTGCAGGCTCTTCCTTTAGGGCATCGTTTTTTTATTTGTAGGCCTGTAAAAGCGGAAAAAAATGATAATTTTTACACGAGAAAATTTCTTTATTCACTCTGGAATATATTCACATACCACAAATTGCATTCTTCCAAGAACCAATTTCACAAAATTGTAATGATAACTGTCTTCCACCATACCAACGTGAATGTAAAGCTTGATATGCGGCAACCGCACTTCGCAGGTCAGAAAATTCTACGTAAGTGTTTCCTCGCAGATGTTTTTCGTAGTTGTTACAAACCTGCATAGATATACCAGTTAATTTAAGAGTAAAAATATGTAATATAAAGAGGGAGGTTGATGATAGATTGAGTAATTTTATATTTCTATCTAAAAAAAATTAATTTCATTAACAATTGCCAAAATCATAAATTAAATTGAGAATTTACAACATAAGAATGAAATTTAAACTTTCTTAAAATCTTTAAAGGGCGAAAGTGATACAAACCTTGAAAGTAGAAAAATTCAGTATCCGTGTTTGGTGGAATTTCTAGACGAAATTTCGATCATGAACATGTTGACTTTTCAGACAATGTCAATATTTTTATTAATGTAGTTTGGAAATTATTCAAATTATGATTTTCTTAAAAAAACTAACAAAATTTCAATCTGTTTACTTAATATTATTTATGTATTTTGGTAGCAAAAGTAAACTTGAAGCGAAGTCTATTATTCATCTGGATGGAGACAAAGACAAATTTTTAACATCAGGATTATGTACTTTCTACTTTTTTTTTCTTTTCTTTTAATTGCTACACTACGACAAACTCTCACCACTCCATGGGTTGACTGGTAGAGAATGCCTTTAGGTATTATGTCCGCCCTTTGTATCCTTTTTTTTCTAAAGGGACGCAATAAAGTTTTTAAAATAAAATGAAACTAATTAGTTAAGTATTGTTTTCTTAATTTTTTTTTGAGCAATGGTGAAAGTGAGACTTGTGATGTAATTTTTTTGGAGTAAAAATAGCTTTAACTTTTAACCGATTAAAACTGAATAAATTGCGCGTGATAACAGCCCCCAGGAGCATCTAAACATAATATAATGAATTGCGAGAGATTGATGCCATATTAACTTACTCCAAGGCATAAACGAATTTGCATGTGAAATTCTGCATTGGCGATTACCCTGGTGTAGCAGTTGTTTATAGGCGCCGGTATTCACAGACTAAGCATACAATATCTTCAAGTCTTGTATGCTTGATTAATTGACATTAGAGACTAGAATACAAATCATAGCAAAAAAACACCGAATCCTACTAAGGATGATTTGAGAGGCTATTGAAATTAAAGAACATCTTAATTTCAATAGAAAAATTAAATCCAATCCCATGCATACCACTGTAAGACTTCATAGTACTGTGTAAGCTCGTTCTTTTTTTTATAGAATAAGGGAGACCAACGAGCACACAGGCCACCTGAGTGTAAGTGGTAGCTGTGGCCCATAGACATCTACATCTATCTTCGTTTGCGAATTAAAATGCACATGCGTTGTCAGCCGTGAGGGCTAAGATAGAATGCCTCTTTTCTAGTAAAAAGGGTCTCTGGTTTCTAAACTCACTATGTGAAACAGCTTAATGCTGCTATTTTACGCTGGTATTCGGTGAGAGCGTGGTCCTTCCCCGGTCGAGTGGACCCATTCGTGTTACAACTATACTATTGTTACATAATATAGCCACAGGATGACACTACCATGTATATTCTGCGTAGATTGGACCGAAATTATTTAAAAGTTGTAGGTAATCTCCGTATACTATGATCATGACATTAAGACGTTAAATACATCAGTCCCACCTGTAAAGTACTCGAAACGGTGTGTATAAAATAAAACAAGTGTGCAGTTCACACGCGGTAGAAGTGAAATCATGAAATGAAATGAAATATAAAATAAAAATATTTCTGATGTGTTTTATTTAACATAATCATTTTCAGCCACAAGTGCGACATAAAATATAAGATAAGTTTAATTTTATAGCAAATAAATGTTACAATCCTTATTTTTAGTGTAATATATCAAAAAAATATTTTCTTATGAGTAAAATTACTTACTACTAGCGCCATCTACTTATAGTTATATTATCGAACACAAATTGATCTGCTCTCAAGGTGTTACGTAAAATATACGCTAGATGGTCTGAAGTTATGAAATCGTTGGGTTGTTATAAATGGATATAAAGATAATTTCATTCAATATGGTTAATTTTACTTATTTAATAAATTTGTAGATTTTTTTATCTTGTTTACATTAACCATCTTTAAAGCACCATACAAAGAGGAGACAGAGATAATAGGAAACACTGTTTCCTTTATTTTACTAGCAATAGAATTTGTTTTAAAAGACAAAAAGAGAGTAGTCGAATGGCGGATTCGAAACCACAACCTTTTGAATTCGCAGTCTACACTGCTTTCTATCTTATTCTTTCGCAGGCTAAATCCTATAGATGTATGTATGTATATGTTTGTCTCTTTTTAGGTTCAAATCAAAACATTTCCAAATAATTTTTCATTTCAAAACATGATAAAATCCCTAAAATTTGTTTTATGTAATTTTTAGTTTTTGTGTTTATAAGAGATATTGTGTAAACATTCCTAAGATAACTTAGGATATTTTTATCACGCAATGAGATTTAAATAGTTCCATGCATAGCTACTAGCATGGTGCATCGATTGAATATTAATATGAAAGCCAGTAATTAGCATTGTTAATATAAATTAGCAAGGATTTTTCGTTATGAAATCCCAATATATAACAAAAATTTTCAAATCATGTTTTGAGTTATAATTTATATTCTTTTCAGTGTATGTAACATACCAAAGCCTTTATTTATTACTAGGTGGTGGTAAGAGAGAAATAATTACAGTCTTTGTTTGAAGTTTTTTTTTTTATAGAATAAGGGTGACAAACAAGCTCACATTCCACCTGATGTTAAGTGGTTGCTGTGGCCCATAGACATCTACATATATCTTCGTTTGCGAATTAAAATGCAGATGCGTATCTTAGTACTAAGATAGAATGCCTCTTTTCCAGTAAAATGGGTCTCTGGTTCTCTACACTCACCATACGAAATACAGCAGCATTAAGCTGCTATTTTACGCTGGTATTCTGTGAGAGCGTGGTCCTTCCCCGGTAGAGCCGACCCATTAGTGCTACAACTATACTATTAATATAGTTGCAGCATGGCTCTACCGCGTGGAAGTTAGTTGTTCTTGGCCCGTGGTAACCACTTAGCACCAAGAGGACTGTAAGTTTGTTTGTCACTTCAATTATATTAAAAATAATATACTGGTTATTTTTCTACATTGATGTGGCAAGAATATTACAGTGAGTGCAGTGCTATTTTGTGGCAGAAATAATTAAGAGTGTTACTAAGCAGAAAAGGACCATCACCTAGAATATATGTGTATTAAATTGTTATTTATTTTTAGATTTTTTTAGATTATTTTGCTTTTAGATTGTAGGGACACATTGTATGTTATTTTTCTGACGAGTACGCATCATGACTATTTCTTGAGACGTGCTTGGAGATGCGTGCGTTTGTACGCCTCTCGTATGAGGATATTATATGCTGCTATCGAATGAGGATATTATAATATAGTGAACATTGTATTTTTTTTAGATTTTTTATTGACAATCAAGCAAACAATCCACATCTGGGTAAGGGATGCCATAGACCTACATCTATCCTCAATTAAATATAGATGCATTGTCATCCCTGAGGATTAAGATAGAGAAGGTTTACAAGGTTTAAATAATTGATTGATAAGGTTTAAATAAAATAAATACGCAAAATCAGTACTTAGATGAAATAAGCATAACCTTAATTTACATAAAAGGATACTTTTGTAAAATTATTTAACTTTTCCTTATCTTTTTTTCTTATAGCATACTTACCTTAAATTGTACCACTTTACCAAATTTCTCGAACTCGGGTAGTACGTCGAAAAAAAAATCTTTGAAATCTTTGTATGTATCACTATCTTCATACTCTAACATTACGTCGGTATCATATTCACTGAAATTGGAGTTTTCTAATCCAAAATGTATATAAAAATTTGTAGCTAACAGTATCTGGATAAAAAATAAAGATTTTGTTAGGAATATACATAATACAGCAAGGTAATTTTTTTTTGTATAAATAGTTTTGTAAAGGTGAAGCTTACTTTACTTATACCAGGATATTGATGGTTTCTTGAACATTGATCTCCAAAACGACAACATGCAGTTTTGGTAAAAAAAGGACATATGTCTGCATTTGGTCTTGTTTCTCGGGAAATTAATAACTCTTCAGGTGGATCCATTGAATCACCTTTTAAAAACTGTTCTAAGTTCTCCTGAAATACTTTCTGTTTTCTTTTATTTTCTTCCTCAATTTCTTTTAACCTTTGTACTTCTTCTTCTCTTTGTTTTTGTTCCATTTCCCGTTCCTTTAAAAAAACAAGTGTAATTTTGATTAAAAACATTTTTCTTATACTGTAATGCTCCCTACATGTAAGGAAAAACACCCAGCTTTTTGTACTATAGTATATGACCAAGCATTAAAATTTTAGCATAATAAGCAACTTGCTGTGTGAAGATGGTGCAAAGTGGGAGATATATGGTACTGTGATTGCTAAACTACTTGCTTAAGCAGGGCAATTGTGAAAATCCTTGCTACAGTAGGAGAAGCTATACTGAAGTAATAACTTCCTATCTGGTAGAGCCATGCTGCAGCTATTTTAGTAGTATAGTTGTAGCACGAATGGGTCGGCTTGACAGGGCTAGGACCACGCTCTCACAGAATACTAGCATCAAATAGCAGCCTAACACTGCTGTGTTTCGTATGGTGAGTATAGAGAACCGGATACCCTTTTTACTTGAAACGAGGCATTCCATCTTAGTCCTCACGGGTGGCAATACATCTGCATTTTGATTTGCAAACGAGGATAAATGTAGATGTTTATGGGCCCCAGCAACCAGTTACCATCAGGTGGACTGTGTGCTCGTTTGTCACTCTATACTATAAAAAAATACTTTATAAATAAAATTGAAAACGTGTACATCATAAAGACATACCAACTCCAGTTTGGCCTCTTCTTGCAGTTGCATTTGACGCAAATGCTCAATCTTTTCTTGAAGTTTCTGCCATTTTTCCATTGTTACTTTCTCAGCTTTTTGCCATTTGTCATTCTCCTCTTTATTTAAAATTGCAATCTTTTCTAGTTCAAGCAACTGTATTGCTTCTTGTTCTTTAATCCAGAACTCATGTTCTTCAGGTGTTAAGTAAGTAATAGGGTCTGAAATATATTCCTTTATAATTATTGAATTAGAATATATATTTATACAAACTGAAGTTTCTGATACCTAAAGAGTTAACTAAGATGCTTGGATAATCTTGTGACTTCCAATAGATGGTAGTATAACTCTCATATATAACCTAAACCAAAAATACTTAGACCTGCATCAAAGTTGCATGGTCTAATACTGTGATCGCCAAGAAGTGTGTGGGAGAGTTGTGAAATTGTGTTTATTTTTAAAATGTATCACATTTTTTCGTGAAACACTGTAGCCTCTTACAATACCCTTATGTCATATTTGTTGTGTAAAAGAAACAGTCAGTGTATAATATGCCATGTAATAGTGGCGTAAGAGTAATCCACTATTATATTATATAATTTTTTACAGGTAAGGTATGACTTTCCATTGATGTCCGTCGAGTTGGGGGTTGATATTTCTTTTTACAGAAAGGTTATATTATTATAAGCACACGCGCAAAGTTTCAACATGCGGAAATGCGTACTTTTTGCGAAAAAATTTTTTTTGAAAATCAATTATTTTTGCAATATTCATGCCGATCCCCATTAACATCCCTCAAGTTGAAGGTTGATATTTTTCTTACAGAAAGGTTACATTATTATAAGTTTCAACATTTGGAGACACATGCTTATTGAGAAAAAAAAATATTGTAAATCAACTATTTTTGCAATACTTATGTCAATTGCTACCGTAAAACTGACGCTATTTTGTAGTGTCATTGTCAGTAGGGATGTCGATTCTTTCCGAAAATGATCTATTTTTTAAATCATTTCGAATTGTAAGCTGATGTATCGATTCACAAAAAATTGATTTCTATAATATCTATATTTTTCATTTTTACATTTATAATGTAAATATAAATCCATTTTATGAGAAAAAAAGCCCCTTCATCATTAAAAAATAGGGGGACTGATTTAGAAGGATTTCTGAATCTATTTTGAGACTGCTACGTCTCCGGCGCTGCGGGAAGAGCAGCCTCTATGCCTTTGCGTAACAAATCGCAATGAAAAAATATAGATATTTTAGAAATTGATTTTTTGTGAATCTATACATCAGCTTACGATTCGAATCGATTTAAAAATTTCTTTTTCGGAAAGAATCAACATTCCTACTGACAATGACAATACAAAATAGCGTCAGTTATTTATGGTAGGAATTGACATAAATATTGCAAAAATAATTGATTTTCAATCATTTTTTTCTCAAAAAGTATGCGTTTCCGCATGTTGAAACTTTGCGTGTACTTATAATAATGTAACCTTTCTGTAAAAAAAATATCAACCTCCAACTCGACGGACGTCAATGGAAAGTTAAGCCGGTAAATGTATTGGCACGAAAATGATACTACTAAAAATATTTTGATGTTTTTATTAATAAAATATCCATTGCGCCGCTTATAATTATATTAATTGTGACTCACGTGATAAGTGTATAGTTTGTAACAAAATCTAAGAAAAATAATCATTACCTAGTTTTTTTGCGAGTTCTTTTCGTATTCTTTTCCTTCGTTCCCTTTTTGCAATCTTCCGCCATTCATTATGCCTGTGTAAGCGATAAAATATGTTAGTCAATATTAATTGGTATAGATATAGCAAGACTATGTTAAATTAAATTATGCTTTCCTTCCCATATTTAAAGTAATTACGACAAACGATGCTTATGGGTGTACTGAAAAAAGGTATTCCTTCGCAAAGCCCATTAATCGAGGCAGTGAAAGAAGATACTACGACAAGGACTAGACTATCAGTCGAACGGTAGTAAGGAAAGTAATAACTTTAAAGGGGAAATAGAAAATTTTAAAGTTTTGTGGTTTCATCTGCAACAAAATTAGTGTATTTATAAAAGAAACAATGTTTTGTTTTCAATTTGATTGTCAGTGGCAGATTTGACACTGACAGTTTATTTAACATTTTTTTATGACCGGCTTTACGCACAGAGTACCTTTGACTTTATGGTTCTGGGTTCTAGCCCTTCTGAGCCTGAAGTTACAATGTATAATTATCCTTTATACATAGGCTGCACTAAGAATGGAATATTTCCACTGTTCCTGTCATATTAAAATCTTTTTAATTTAAAATTCCTTGGTTTTAAAAATCGAATACCATTTATTTATTTAAAAAAAGATTCTCGGTCTTGTCACAAGGTTTTGTCAAACTTGTTTAGTCGTTGAGAAAATGGATGATTGTATAGTCTGCGCGGAAGTGCTAGTCATCGCCTTAGGTATGTGAGCGGCAGGACGGGGGAGGTAGACAAACATCAAGCTGACGCAGTCTGCCGTCAACCGCCGCGACGGTTACACGATTCAGTTGTACGCGACAGTTTTCTCCAAAAATACATGAGATAAATATTCTAAGATGGGTCCGCCAATACCACGACAAGTGAAAAATATTATTTATAATGTACATAGTTTTTTTTTAAGACGAAAGGGCGACAAGGAAAGTATGGAACACAAATATGATATGAACATTAATAAATTAGTAGCAGAGGCTACAGGAGTGTCTGCCCGCACCGTAATGCGAATTGTAGCTGAAGGAAATTCGAGTCTACAAACATCGGAAATTGCAAAATTTTCATCTCCGCGGAAACCTAAAGAAATAAAAAAGAGAATCCACATTGATGATTTTGACATGGGAGTTATACGAAGAAAAATTCATCAATTTTATACTAGTGATAAGAAAATCCCAAGTATTCGTAAGCTGCTTGCAGCTTTAAAAGAAGATGGCATTGTGAACTGCGGTTGTACCTATTTACGACAGCTTTTACATAAGATGGGATATTTATTTAAAAAATGTAAATCTAAGAGACACATTTTAATTGAGAGGCCCAGTATTGCTGAATGGAGAGTAAGGTATTTAAGAGCTATACGGAAACATAGAAATGAAAACCGAAACATATATTATCTGGACGAAACCTACGTTAATAGTAGCCACACCTCCAATATGTGTTGGCAATCCGAATCTGAGCCTGGAATTTATGCTGATATTGGCAAAGGGCGTCGTTTGGTGATTGTTCATGGTGGTAGCCGAGACGGATTAGTTAACGGTGCCTTAACAATTTTCAAATCTGATTCGAAATGTGGGGATTACCATGGCGATATGAATGCCACAAATTTTCATAACTGGGTTAGTCACAAATTGAAAAATAAACTAGCTCCTAATTCAGTGGTCGTAATGGACAATGCCTCCTACCATTGTGTACAGGTAAAGAAAAAACCTACTATGTCAAGTTTAAAAAGGGACATGCAAGATTGGTTACGCGAACGTAATGTTGAATTTACACCAGATAATACAAAAGCCGAACTCTTTCATTTGATAAATAGAACTCAGTCCGAAAAAATTTACGTCATTGACGAAATATTAAAGGCTTCAGGTCATATCGTTCTTCGCCTTCCGCCATATCATCCTGATCTCAACCCCATTGAGCTTGTGTGGGCCGATATAAAGAACAATTTAGCTACAAATTATATAAATACTTCATTGGACGACAAAATTCCAATCATCACAAAATTGTTTTCTGAATTCACTCCAGGAAGATGGCAAAAGTGTGACGACCACGTACAGAAAATCGAGAACCAATATTGGGACCACGATATGAGGTTTGACAATGTAATAGACGAGTTGATCATAAACCTGGGAAACGATTCAGATTCTGAGGAGGATATGGAAATTGAAGACATGTATAGTAATGAAGAAGAAGAAGATATGGATTAATTTTGTGCTATAACGGATTGTTTTTTTTTTATAGGATAAGGGTGACAAACGAGCACACAGTGCACCTGATGGTAAGTGCTTGCTGCGGCCCATAGACATCTACATCTATCCTCTATTACAAATCAAAATGTAGATGCGTTGTCACCCGTGATGACTAAGATGGATTGAGGTTTTAATAACCTCCTTATTTGTGATACAAACCCACAGGTCGAACATAGAATTCTCGCAGTATGGTAATTTAGGTTTAATTTGGGTGGTGAGTTTATAAAACTGTTTTGTATCATAAATAATAAAATGTAATTAACGCTTTTAAATACGTGTTAATTTTTGTTTAGCCCGGAAAATATAAATAATTTACCCATTATATTAATTAAGACAGTTTCTAACATGGTTATCCGGAGATTTATCTGTCCTCAAATATCTCGTGTGCGTCTTGTCAATCGCGTCCTCCCCCGTCTCGCCGCTTGCATACCTAAGGCGATGACTAGCACTTCCGCGCAGACTATAAAAACCCACCTCAGACCACTTTTCCAAAATACTGTTTATTGTGGATTTATATTCTCTACGGCAAGACAAACTTTTTGAGTGTAAAAACACACCTCAGTCATGTAAGCATTCCACAGTAATAGAAGCACAAATATTTCAATGAGCGTAAAAATCCACCTTATCCTGGATGAGGTGTTTTTTTACAACCAAACATGTGGCAACACCTAAAACTGTCAGCTGTCAATATTGACGTTTTTAACGTTAGTTTGTTTAGTTTGAACAACTGAGGTGACTGTAACGGACACGAATTACTTGTATTACACAAATTAAATTAAATTTTGCTGCTTAATGGTGAAAATGAGTGCTGAAATGGAGGAAAGTGTAATATATTTAAACCCAGGTGAGCCATCCTCGGGTGAAACACGCACTAAAAAACGACGTGATAACTCTGTTGATTATTCCCGGAATAAGATCAAACAAGCACGTATTCATGGGCAGGCTTATGTGACGGCAAAAAATAAAACTGTACGGGCTAAGACAATAGGACCTCCATGCAAGTATGCTAAAAATGCTGGGAAACCATATCCGAAAATGACAAATTAGAGAACCTTGCCAAATTATATAACTTGGCGACAAAAAATGAACAAGATATCTATCTCCAGGGGTTAATATCCTGTAAGGACATAAAACGACGCCGAGTGCTGAAGGAGAACACATTGAGACAGAAAATGTTTACATACACCGTTCAAATTGGTAATGAGAAGAAAGATGTAGGCCATTCTGCTTTTCTTAGCTTGTTTGGTATTACTAAGGACCGTGTTAAGAGGCTCCGTGCCTTGTTGGTCTTGGGTAAAATACCGGAAGACAAGAGAGGGAAATTGAAAACGGTCAATACGATGTCTAGTGACGAAATCACTGCAGTGATCTCTCATATTTCCTGTTTTCCAGCAAAAGAGAGCCACTATTCTTCTAGCATAATAAAGTATCTTCCTGCTGACCTATCAGTAAAAAAAATGTTTCGACTTTATAAGGAAAAATATCCAGGAACTAGGAGTAAGTACGAATATTATAATAAAATATTCAGGGAGAACTTCGCTCTTCGCTTTGGACGACCAGCAGTAGATACGTGCTACCTCTGCGAGAGTCTAGACTTGAAAATCAATTCGAAAACCCTGAATGACGTAGCTAAAAAGGTAGCTTTGGCCGAAAAGCTAGTACACAAAAAGAGGGCAAAGAAGTTCTATAATAAACTTCAAGAAGCAAGGCAAATATCCCAAGAAGATGAAACATTTTTGGGAATTTGCTACGATTACATGCAGAATGTGTCGCTGCCAATAATTCCAGTGCAAGAAATATTTTATTTGCGGCAACTGAGTGTTTCTATCTTCTGCATCCACAATTTGAAAACGGGTAAAAATGTCCTGTTCGTATATCATGAAGGGCAAGCAAAAAAGGGACCAAACGAAGTATGCTCGTTTATTATGACATACATTAAAGAGTACGTCGACAAAAAAGTGGTAGAACTAATGCTCTTTTCTGATAACTGCGCAGGGCAGAATAAAAACAATACATCAGTACGAATGAATATGGCCCTAGTTGACAGCGGGCGTTTCAAAAAAATTCAACAGATCTTTCCGATGCGTGGCCATTCTTTTCTGCCGTGTGATAGAGCATTTGGGATTATAAAAAGAAGCCTTCGTCGTAAAGAAAGGCTGTACAGTGTACAGGAACTTATGGAATTAATCGTATCTTCGAGCAGGCAGTGTGATTTTTTTATAGTTCACTTGATCAGCGGAGAGGATGTGACCGAGTTTAAAAAATGGTGGGTTCAACATTTCAAAAAGACTGCACTATCCCTTGAAACAAAGGATCGGCGAATTCCGAGAACGGAAAAAGTAAGCTTCAGTATCTCAAAGTTCCATCACCTCACATTCAAAAACATCGGCAGTGATGTGCCGGTAAAAACGCAGGAATTCATTGATGGAATGATAAAGCATATATTTTTGTTGAAGATAAGGCCACAGATTACCGTATCGCTACCGAATGAACCTGCATATGAACCAAGGCAACTCTGCATTAATGTAAAGAAGATGCAGGACCTGAAAAAATGCGTTCAGTTTGTGCCTGAAGACGAAAAACCTAAGTTCTGGAACGAAATATTGCAATGGCCAACAGCTGAAAATGTCGAAGATGAAGAATTAGATTAATTCTGTTATTTTTTTAAGAAAATTAATATTGTTTAATATTCGTACAAATTGGACTTTGATTGTAAAAACACAACTTGTACATGATGACTGTAAAAATCCACCTCATCCCAAAACTTAAAAAAATCAAATAAAAATATCTATGAATATTTATGCTACCACTTTTTAACATACCAATATATTAAATATTATTCC